TGGCAAAAACCCATCCATCTGCCTTCAGTGGCTGGCCAAGGCATTATACAGCTGAGTGACAGCTGAGCAAATTTCTCATAATCTGTATTAGGCCCAGATTCTGAAGAACTGACTGGTAGTTTATTAGATTTATTACCAGAAAGCACAACTCTTAACTGTAACTCTACTTGTTGTAGCAATTTGCTTTTGACTATAAGCTGCATGTCCTTCACATTGTTACACTGCTACATACCACTAATGGTCCTATAAATAATTTCTATAAATATAACCATTTATATTCTGACAATACATGTTCATCCTGTTGCACAGTATTACACAGTTCAGCCTCTAAACCTGAACTAGTAAGTAGGACCAGCCTAGGCAACACTTTTGGAGCAGTCTGTGTCTTCTCCATGATGCAGCTTAAGGCTCAGGAGAGCTGGTCAGCTCACAGCTTCTCGTAGTGCTCTGGGTAGCTCCATCAAGAGCAGCTTCCTTGCAGCAAGTTCACACAGAATCTACAAACCACCATTTTTCATGTAACTGAGAGGTTTGCTGTGAAACGCTCCTTACTATCTGCCAGTGTAAAAGAAAGGAAGGAAGGAGGTCTGGCATTACATAGCCAAACTGAGGGGAACCCAGGCTAACCACTCCAAAAATTATATACACAAAATTGCCTTCTCTGCTTAGTTCTTTCCATGTCTTTAAGGAAGTGATACCCTGTACTGTGTCATAGCTATGAGTAAATGTTGAGCAATCACACGAAAACAAAGCAGATGACGTCAGAGCTAAAGCTGTTATTGTAACACATAATGTGGGTGTTTATGCCTAGATTTATTTTTTATATTAACTGGAATGCCTACTTCAGGGAAGCAGAGATAAAAGTAAACCCATAACTTTATCAGCTATTAATGCAAGAAAACTATAGGACTCCGGTAGAGAAAATATGATAAACTCTCTTCCATCCCTTCTGATCTTCTCCCCACTTCGAACAGGAGATCAAGATAACTTGTTAAGTTATTTACCTCTATCTATATTTCATGTACAAAAGTCAGCTATCACATAGAAACACAGGTTCACTCATACTCCTATTCAGATTGTTCAGATTAGTTCTTATCCTTAGTAGTACCCTAGTTAAGGTTTCATGATCACTTCTGTATTTTTTTTTTTAGAATTCTTTAATCTTGCTTTTCTTGTTTACTTTTAGCTCCCCCTTCTCTATTAATTATACACATCAGCCATGTCTACAGCCTCATGGTTCTCTTATTTGAGTCTACTAAATTAACTCCCCTTCACACCCCCAACAGTTATTCACTACTGATATCTCCTGCTTCAGCTCTGGCACTTTTACCCAAACTGCTAGAAATTTAGTCTTTCAGCATAGTTACAGGTCTAAACCACTTTGGAGGTAATATGAGATCCCATGTCAGATTTGTGGCTCTGGATGAAGCAAGCAAAAGGTATATTAGGGATGTGACCTGTGTAACTACAGAAGACACCACATTGCTCTGAGCTTTGCAGGGTGTCGCTGTGTCCATCTAAGTCTGATGAAATATATGATGAATTGAGGCCAGGTCATCATCCACCAAAAATGACAGAGATGAAAGAAAGTACTTCTCATGGATGCTGCAACATGGGCATTCAGCAGCATCATTGAACTCTAGACCCTACTCTAGCTGCAGTTCAAACTGGTACACTTTGCATGTGTACTTTGACTATTTAGCATGTTTTTTTAATATAGTTTCTACTGTCAATGCCATTAGAGCTCAATATATATTCTGTCTCAGGATGATGGCACTGCCTTAAAAATACAACTTCTTTTTTAAACATATTGTCTTATTATGTTTCTGGTGGATTCAAGTTACAGAAGACAATGGCGATGCCAACAGCAGATGTTGGCTAAACACTGACAAACCTCTATGAGGACTGGAGTGTGGTAAGGTGATCACTGGCCATTGTTTAAGGCAAATCAGGTTTTAGCTTAGAACTTTTGGATTATCTGGATGAAAAATAAATAATGGATTGACCAGAAAGAGATTTGAATAGTATGGTAGAACAGGTCAATGAAGATAAGCAGCTGAAAGCATTAAAAGGAAGTATCTCTCAGTAACTATTTTAGACTTTTCCTTATCTTTTCCTGTTTTAGTATCAAACCTACTACGTCAAAGGGAAGGAAAAGAGCCTATCCTGATTCCAATATATAGAAACAGAAAAAAAATAATGTAGGAAACATCAATGAATTTTTCCAATTCAGGCATATCAATTAAAGGAAAGAGTGATTACTTTAAAAATCTCTGCTAGTCTTATATTTTTATCTATTATCAGTTACAGGATTAAAAAGTGTTGAGGCCAAAGATTTCCGTCCTTGGAGAGGGATCTGTATTCCCAGGGCAAACCTAGCAGAGGACAGAAGCAGCTTCTAGATTGCATTTACATGTGAGGAGACACAAATGTGCACAACCTGAATAAGGTGAAACAGCCTGGTTAAACACACAGCTAGAAAGCCTTTCCTCCAATGCACTTGTCCAGGTACCAGAAACATGGCTAGAAACATTTCACAACATTCCCTTCAGCTCAACAACAGAAGCATTTGCTCCTTTGGGTTCAGGTCTAATCACCTGCTCTTCATTTGTGAGCTGATATTGTCCAGGTACTGAAGCATCTTGATGGTAACGGTGGAAACCAGTGTTAATCAGGAAAGAGGCATCACTTTATCTCTACAAACACCTCACATCTGAGTCTATATTATCTGCCTGATTTCCCTAATAGCTGGAAATTGGATTAGAGAAATAATTGCTTATTTGGGTCTTCAGGTGGGAATCCTGTGCTTTAGAGCAGTTCATTAATCTGGAGTGTCCTGAGAAGATAATTTTACAAAACGGTGGGCTTACAGCCTGGCACTATAGTGGGTTTCAGTACAAATAACATTTCTGTTACAGCATTAAGATCTAAAAAAGACAAATTTATGCTTTAAATGTAATTGAGAAGAGGAATTTATTTTAAAACCTAGATGTTTGTGGAAGCTGATTAGGACTTCATAATGAAAGCTGAGCCTGAGTACTTGATAACTCGTCCTTTCAAAATAAATCCACCAGGTAAGTCTCCTTAAGTTTTGGAACTTTTCCACCTTGTCTGATTTCCTGGTACTTGTTCATACAGGTTTTGCCCTGTGAGCACAACTTTGATTAGCTGTGACATGGCACCTTTCTTTTCAAATGAATCTATTTTGAAACTTCTTGTACTTAAAATCCATCTAGACTTCCTTCTTGAAAGACTTTGAGACCCAATTCTTTCCTCATTTGTTCCGCTTAACTCAGTGTATTTGCTTCCACAGAAAAGATTACTACTGGGTCTTGAGTGTCCAGAAGTACCCCCATTTAATAAGGAAAAACACGTTTTACTCAGAAATGCTGAGTCATTCTCAATTCCCAATTTGGATTGGGAAGTGAATGGGGGAACGCATTTTTAGAACTGCATCACAGAGCATGAGTGGCAATCCAAATAAAGGATGACTCTTTATTCATACATATGTATACGTAACTTGTACGAGATTTAAGTTCTCTTGTCAAGAAAGCAGAGAAAATCCTTTACATTTCCAAGCTCTCTTTTGCAGTCTCAGTATAATTTTAAACGAGTGTATCTCTGCTCCAATCCAGACATGTGGCACTAAATGTAACATCTGAATCTACTCCCTTTCCAGGACTGAAATCGGCTACCATCTGGATAGACTAAAGCGTTCAGTGGCATAGTCTCCCTCCATGACATGACTGGATTATCTGTAGTGTTAAACATAGGGCTGTAAGGGCTCTCTGGTAAAAATACCCCTTTCATCTTGTTCCAGTCAACAGGTGGCTTATGATTTGACCCCATTTCTTTTGAATACATTTTTGCCGTAGATTACAGTTCCTTGTTTCAGCAATAATCATGTACCTTGATTGCTTTACATGGTTTTTTAATCCTTCTTATAAACTATGATTTTTGTTAGTCTCATTCAAGTAATTAATGAAGTTCCATGTCACGTGGCCGTAACATAACAAAATCCCCTTTCTGGGCTAACATACATTAGGTGAACCATGGTAGGTGCGAGACTCTTTATTTTTTCTTAGCAAACCAGACATCTAAGATTCAGCATAAAAATGTTTGCACTTAAATGTTTTCCAAAATTTTTGTGCCAATTAAACGTGGCACTAGCTGACTTTCTTAAGCCTTGGTTAGATGTCTCTGGGAGACTAGGTTACTGTACTACAAACTTGGATTTTGGTATTAAGCAGTGTATTATTGATGGCTGGCATTGTTTAACAGAAGTGACTAGAAGCCTGCTTTGCCAGCAGCTGTATAAATCCACACCAAAATGGTGCTGATATTTTCAGGCATCAGGTGGAAATCAATTTGTAAACCTTCTTTATGAAGTGCCTGGGAAAGCCAGCCAGGCGGTGGGTATGTGGGGTTACATTCACTCTATGCATAGTCTCTCTTCCCTCCCAAAACCTTTTAAGGGTCAACCACTAAGAAACCATTGGCAGCCACCGAGTCGGGCCTATCTCTACAGAAGAGTCGCGGATTGTCGCCGTGGGCCAAGGAACATGAACAACGACAGGATTGCTCTTCTGGCGACGGTAACTCCCCTTGGGATTAAAAAACTCGCGTGTTTACGCGGCTTCATCCGGGGGGGAGGGCCTGTCCCCGGGACAGGGATCTCGTGTCCGGCGAGCGGGCAGGCGGCAGGCACTGCCCTGGCTCCTTCCCCGCTGCCTCCCCGGGATGCCGCCCGGGGCGGCTCGAGCGCCCCTCCTCCTGCCCCGACAGCCGCTCGCTCCTGCTCCTGCTCCTGCTCCCGCTCCTGCCCCGCCCCGCCCGCGCGGCCCTTCGCGCTGCCGGAGCGTCAGCGGGAATTTCCAGCCAGGAAGTGCTGCGGGCCGGGGGCAGGGGCGGAGGTTGCGCAGGCCGGTGCCGCTCGGCTGCCCTGGCCGGCGGGGCGGGCGGGGAGGAGGGGGAAAGTCCGCGCGGAGCGGAGCCGGGTGGCGGGCGGCGGCACGTCGCTTACATGGCGCGGCGCTGAGGGACCCGCCGGCGGCACACCGCCACCACGACCTGGAGGAGGAGGCGCCGCCAGCCCTGCCCTGCCCCGGTGAGCCCCAGGCGTCCCCTGACCCGCCGCTCGCTCTTTCTCCGCTGTCCGTGCCTCGGCGCCCGCCTGCCGCTGGCTGAGCTCCCTCTGCCCCGCGCCAGCTCGGGCCGGGCTGGGCGGCGGCAGCGCCGCGGGGAGCGCGGCAGCCCACGGAGCGGAGCTTTGCCGGTGGGAAGCGTGTCCCCGGGAACAGCCCCGCGCCTGCCACCTCGGCCCGGGCGCGGAGCTCCCGCTGGAGCGCCGGGAGGAGCTGCCGCGGGATTCGCCCGCGCTCGGCGCGGCGGCTGCGGCGAGCCGGGGGAGCGGGCGGGATGCCGGGCAGGGCTTTTCTGCTGGGATGCTACAGGGGTCTTCTTGGCGAGGAAAGGGGTGTCTGTGACAGGCTGTCCGGTAAAGTGAAAAATTCTGAAAGCCCGACTTGTGCTGACGGCGTGGCGGGTGCTTGTAGGGCGAAGGAGGTGCTGCTTTTATCAGTTTTGGTTTCGGAGGTGACACACGTACGTGCTCCGCCTGAGACACAGCCGGGAGAGCCCGCCGGGGCACAGCATCAAAACGTGGGTTTGGTACTGGCAGCTTCGGGTGTCTTCGTCTTGGGTGAAGCCCAAGGGTGTCGCAGATAGTATTTAAAAAAGACTGCGTTAAAAGGTAGGAAATAGTGAGGTTTTTGAAGGTAATTTAGTAATAAGTGATGAAACTGAAAAGTTCTCATCATGAGGAGGAATATTATTAGACTGACTGGTCTGTTACACTTGACCTAAAACCCAAGAATATCCAGCTTCTCATCATCACAAATTTTTTTGCCTGTTGGTGCTTTTTGCTTTGATGGTAACTTTGGTAAAAAAGCACTGTTGACATTTTATGTGAACATAAAGTGGAATATTATTTCTGTGACACATGCTATGTGTTGTTGGGCTATTATCATAATGCAGTGTACTACTGTGTAATTTCATTCAAATAAGTGAATGTGAGTGCCTGTAAGCATTTGGGGAATAAGACTTAAGAGACAAGGGATCATCTGCTGTTTCAACTTCCTGTTTTAAAACACTCAAAATCTTTGCTTAAGAGTAACATTTTAAAGGAAATGCAGATTATTATCATTTTTTAAAGTTGTTTTAAAGTGCTGATCATATTTGGCATGTTTTATGCTTCAGAAGTTCTCTTTTCACTTACTCTGTTCAGAGAGAAAAGTGGATGAATTCTTTGCCTTAACACCTCATGTCTTAGATTCTGTGAGGTGCTACACCACCGCTGTCAAGCTCACAGAACAGAGTTGAAAATATAGCACTTTGATTTTATTGACATCCGGAGTCTCTGTGCTATGTACAGTGTAGTATCAACTTTTGAAATAGCGTTTCAGTCAAAGCATTTTTATTCTTTCAGAAAAGAATGTAGCTGCCCCTTCTAGGAAAGCATTAACCAAGACGTCATTCTAAGATATCCTGTCTGCAATGTTTTGTAATCTACAGAAATGACTACAGTTTAACTGAGAAAATGAAAGATGGTAAAGCAGCCTGTAACAATCCAGAAGCAGATGCTCTGTTCTGCAAACTTCTCTGGCTCAAGAATTTAGCTAACAGTTATGCTGAAATATTGTTGTCAGGATCTGCCACAATGTGTGGTGATTTCAAGGAATCTCAGTGCTAAAATCTGTGCAAGATTAGTTAAATAACTTAATCTGAAATATTTCTTTCCACCCTCTGTAAGGAAAGAAATATCAATCAGTGATAGTCATCAAAAAATGGAGTCATTTTCTCATGCAAGAAATGAATATGCTGACTAGAGATAAGAGAACAGCTTTGTATCACTTTGCATCATGTTGTGTGTTTTTAAAAAAGAGTGTTGTAGCAGATAAGCTTCATACCTGCATTTACTTCATTCTGGCAGCACCTTGGTAATGTAGTGTTTATTTTGAAATCAGAAAAGTTTGCTGGGAAAAAGTTTGCTGGGAGAGAGAAAAAGAGAATCTTGGAAGAGGGTGAGAGGGTGGAAAGCAGACAGAGATATTTCACTGATGAGCACATTTGAAAATTTCCTGCTTCATTTGTTGAAAAACAGCGATTCTAATTGTGTCTCAGTTACTATATATTTGACTTTAAAAATCAATTTTAATAATAAATTTAAATTTGCATTTTTTCATTGAAGTGGCATTACGTGAATTCAGTAGGATACCTACAAATAAATATTACTGACGCAAATTTGCTGAATACATTTTTGAGTTTCCTTTTCCCAAAAACTTCCCATGCCACTGTCATATGAATACATGCAAACTCCAGAAATATGTTCAGTTAGGAATTAATGTCATTGTGCTTATTGCTGAGCCTGGAAGTACAGGAACTAAGTTTGAAGGCCTGTGAGTCTTTACTGTCAAGGGTGCTTGTATACAAAGTAGATTTTGGTTTTGAAGTTGCGAAGATGCAGTGAAAGACAATATATTTCTTACTAACTTACAGTTGGTTTTCTGATGTAGTGATGATGAAATTCTGTGGCCTTCAGAGATTCTGGTTAATTCTGTGTTTTCATAGATCACTTCAAAATAACTTGCTAAGATATTTTCACCTGTCAGTGCTGTTTGCAAACTCTGAATTCAAAAGTGTCAGTCTTAAAGAAAATTGTTACTCATTTATGTAAGCAACTAATGAAAAGTCTAAAGTTAGCTAAAAAATCTTTTTTCTAACAAGTTGATACCTTTCCTTTGGTTCTCAGACAAAATAACACAGCTGTTATGAAACAAAGAGGAAAGAATGTTTCAGGCGGAATGAAAAACCAGTTCCTGGTTTTGGTCACTTTTAGCTTTGACACAGGTATTTTAGAAGTGGAAGTTGTAATTTGATGTCCTCTAAATAAGCTGTGAACCTTTTAAGAAGTTCGACATTGATAAGATCATAATTATAGTTGCGTTAACTGTGCCCTTAGGTCAGTCAGGCAGTAAGTTTGCATCTAACTTCAAGCATAGAAATAATTCACTGAATCTTCTTCAGTGCTTTCATTTAAACATATGTATTTTGCTGAAGCACTGTTGACAGTTTCAAAAGTAAGGCCTTAAAAGATGTTTCAAATTATTATAGTCTCAAGGTAAAATCCTTTGTTTAGCATTTAGGTGAAGCTGACAGACTATGTGTGGGAAGGAAGCTACTATTGCTACTACTAGCATTATTTCCCCCTTTCAACTTCTATGTTCTTTTGAAAATCAGTGACACAGATATGTTTTTTTCTTCATTTAAAATGCTAAACTGAAATACCTCTGTTTCATTGTGTCCTCCAAGCAAATTGTTCTGGTATCAACAGGTCAAGTGCAAAGTAGGTCTGAGTTGTGTGGTGTTGAGGTTTGATTGTGCTTTTTTTGTTTGTTTTACTTGTGTTTGGCTCTAGTTTTTTATTTCTGCTGAAGATCATATTTCTGTCTGTTTAAAGATGGACAGATTTTAACATAAGAATGCAGTAGAAACAAAGTAAGCAGGTGATTTTTTGATCTCATTAGTTTAGTCCAAGTGGGTTTTGTTGTGTCATAGGTTACTATAGAAAACTGAGACTGCAAGAGTTTTACCATTTCTTTGTAAAAAGCAAAAAAATAAGCCTTAGTAATCACTTTGCATCTATAGATTTGAAAACTAGGGTATAGCTGTGACTGTGCTGGGCTCAGTTTGACCTGTTTGGTTCCACTTACTGGTGTTAGTAAACTGCTTCTGTCGTGTTATGTTTTCAGTGGCTGTTTGGAACTAAAAGGACACTGAGAATCCCTTAGCTGACTTTTCTGATTGCAGTGCTAACAGCCCTCGCTATTTTCTGAGCCCTCCTCTGCCACTGTTGTTCATGATATAGGGGACTGTCTTCAGTAAGACCCCATAACTTGTGTAAGTGAACTTGATGATAACAGGAAACCTTATGCCAACTAGACTTCTGAAATCTTGGGTTTACTTGTTACTTGGCTTCTCAGAAACACTGTTCTTCCCGTGCTCCCCTCCCACCACTCTCCCCCGCCCCCCCTAAAAAAATAAAAAGGGAAAAGTTTGCAGTTTAATATTGATGATTCATGACACTTAAGGCTTATGAAATGGGTATGTGTGGCTTGTTAATTCAAAATTTGACTTTGATGAACAACTTCTGTATGAAATAGAACTATTTGTAGAGAACATGTCAGTCTTTTTTTTGATCTGTAGGAAAAGTAACAGCATTTTAACATGATATTCACGTTAGTTCAAGTAGCAGTAACACCCCACATGGCTAAAATATAGTGTAGTTACTAGAGCTGTTTTGCTGTGTTGAACCTCAGTATTTTTACATATACTTAGCATTATACATGTACCAGAATATGTTTGCCATATATTTGAATACTGTTTATTCCTTTGGTTTGAGTTGCTTTGAATATGTTTTAACAAAAACATTCTAACTTTATTCCAACAATATCATGGAAAAACAGTTTATATGTTTATGGCATTTTAGTGTTTCCTCTTGACATACTAGTTCACTACTTTGATACTTGGGAAAGGAATAAAACAAAAGTTCTGTTTGCATAGATAGTTAGTAGAGCAACCATTCAGGTAGTCCAGTTACTCTTTGCCAATTGAATTTTCTTATGCTATGATTTTTTTTTCTTCAAATAATAATAAATTTGCTGTAATAAATTTGATTCTAGATTTTGAATCATAAAATAATTTTGCACCCAGCAATTCTGATTTAGAGCATCACACTTCTGAAATCTCTTAAATATTTGCGATTGATTTAATTTCCTAAATATTTTGTAGTTTTTATGCTGTTGTCAAATAATACATCTGCTCACGACTGAAAATATTTGAAAAATTTAATTTCAACAATTTTTAAATTTTAAAAATACACAGAGACAAGTGCCAGGTCCCACCCAACAGGAAATAATAAACAGGCTTAATTAGTAAGAAGAGGAGGCAATTTGTGTTGTTATATTAGAAAAACAAACAGTGTCATTTAGGGTTATGTAGTGTTATTGCAAATGCAACAGTCTATGGATAAGAAAAAGTCTGCAGAGG